AGTTTGCCAGAGGCAAATCTTCCCTGGTATCCTACTAAACTACACATAGTATGTGTATTACAATAATTATAAAATACACACATACAAAAATATAAAATATACATATGGCACAAAAGTTATAAACTATGTTCAAAAATTTTAAAATATACAGTGGAGCCTCGTTCATCCGCATATTCTTGTTACCGATAAAATCGTGTGGTCTAACGAAAATCCGTAGCCATTATGTAATTTGGGTATGACTGAGCGAAAAATTGAATTCAAGTATTACTGAACGAAAGATAGAATACATGTGATCATTAAATTAACCACATATTCGCAAATAACGATTTATTAAACACTGTTCAAGGAGGCATCATGAATAATACTAATCCGGAAGCCAGTTTCGTTTATTTATAAACACAAATTTCTGTGCCGTAACTTCGTAGGGCTAACGTTTGGCACAATTCTTGACGGATTTTGAAGAAACTTGGCATGAGTGTTGATTATCACCCAAGGATAAACCCTATTGAAAATCAGAAAAATCGAAAAATATTTAGTATGAGTTATTGCCCTTGTTCTTGAAAACGCGTTCAATTTTAGCTTGTAAACACTCTAGAAGGCACAATTCTTGATGGATTTTGACGAAACTTGGTGTGAGTGTTTGTAATCACCCAAGGATAAACCTATTGAAAATTAGAAAAATTGAAAAATATTTAGTATTAGTTATTGCCCTTGTTCTTGAAAACACGTTCAATTTTTAGTTCGTAAACACTCTAGAAGGCACAATTCTTGACGGATTTTGAAGAAACTTGGCATGAGTGTTGATTATCACCCAAGGATAAACCCTATTGAAAATCAGAAAAATCGAAAAATATTTAGTATGAGTTATTGCCCTTGTTCTTGAAAATGCGTTCAATTTTAGCTTGTAAACACTCTAGAAGGCACAATTCTTGATGGATTTTGACGAAACTTGGTGTGAGTGTTTGTAATCACCCAAGGATAAACCTATTGAAAATTAGAAAAATTGAAAAATATTTAGTATTAGTTATTGCCCTTGTTCTTGAAAACGCGTTCAATTTTTAGTTTGTAAACACTCTAGAAGGCACAATTCTTGACGGATTTTGAAGAAACTTGGCATGAGTTTTGATTATCACCCATGGATAAACCGTATTGAAAAACAGAAAAATTGAAAAATATTTAGTATGAGTTATTGCCCATGTTCTTGAAAAAGCGTTCAAATTTTAGCTTGTAAACACTCTAGAAGGCACAATTCTTGACAGATTTTAACTAAATTTGGCTTGAGTGTTGGTTATCACCCATGGATAAACCCTATTGAAAATCAGAAGAATCTAAAAATATTTAGTATGAGTTATTGCCCATGTTCTTGAAAAAGCGTTCAAATTTTAGCTTGTAAACACTCTAGAAGGGACAATTCTTGACAGATTTTAACTAAATTTGGCTTGAGTGTTGGTTATCACCCATGGATAAACCCTATTGAAAATCAGAAGAATCTAAAAATATTGAGTATGAGTTATTGCCCTTATTCTTGAAAACGCGTTCAAGTTTTAGTTTGTAAACACTCTAGAAGGCACAATTCTTGACGGATTTTGAAGAAACTTGGCATGAGTTTTGATTATCACCCATGGATAAACCGTATTGAAAAACAGAAAAATTGAAAAATATTTAGTATGAGTTATTGCCCATGTTCTTGAAAAAGCGTTCAAATTTTAGCTTGTAAACACTCTAGAAGGCACAATTCTTGACAGATTTTAACTAAATTTGGCTTGAGTGTTGGTTATCACCCATGGATAAACCCTATTGAAAATCAGAAGAATCTAAAAATATTTAGTATGAGTTATTGCCCATGTTCTTGAAAAAGCGTTCAAATTTTAGCTTGTAAACACTCTAGAAGGGACAATTCTTGACAGATTTTAACTAAATTTGGCTTGAGTGTTGGTTATCACCCATGGATAAACCCTATTGAAAATCAGAAGAATCTAAAAATATTGAGTATGAGTTATTGCCCTTATTCTTGAAAACGCGTTCAAGTTTTAGCTTGTAAACACTCTAGAAGGCACAATTATTGACAGATTTTAACGAAATTTGGCTTGAGTGTTTGTTATTACCCATGGATAAAGCCTATTGCAAATGAGAAAAATCGAAAAAAATATTTAGTATGAGTTATTGCCCTGGATCTTGAAAACTCGTTCAATTTGTAGCTCATAAAAATTCTAGAAGGCATGATTCTTGCCAAAACTTGGTTTTATTATTCAGTACCGCGCTGAAATTGAATATTTGTCTTCTAGAGTTTTCACGAGCTAAAGATTGAACACGTTTTCAAGAACTAGGGCAATAACTCATACTCAATATTATTCAGTATCGCCCTAAAGAGTTCAAAAGAAGTGTATGACTGAAGGTTGAATATTTCATACTGGTGATTGTTACTGCACTGCTAAATATGTATGTTTAAAGTCAAAGCTGCCAGTGGGCGTATATTACCTTGCCTGGCAAGCTATCTTCAAGAACTAGGGCAATAACTCATACTTAATATTATTCAGTATCGCCCTAAAGAGTTCAAAAGAAGTGTATGACTGAAGGTTGAATATTTCATACTGGTGATTGTTACTGTACTGCCAAATATTTTTATGCAAAATCAAAGCTGCCAGTGGGCGTATATTACCTTGCCTGGCAAGCTATCTTTTAATGATTCCAGAAAAAAGATGTTTTTCGGACTGAAAATTGTTCTCTGTAAATTCACTTTCCGGGTAATGATTTTATTGGTTGACATTTTCATAAAATTTCAAGACAATTTAAGTTCAGTAGTATTATGGTTGTTATATCAATTCATTCAAAAAATGATCAGTATAATGCGATTCTATGAACTGTTGGACCTTGTTGGACTGTATGTATATCTAACCATAATTCTTGATGAACTTCCTGCATTAAACAGTTAAAATGAACTAATGAAGAGTCACGTGGTATGTTATAAATATCTGATACGAGGTGAGAGTATATTTATATGATTAATTATAAATTATGTACTGGGACATATAGTTATTTATACCTGGTTTAGTGTTGATAATGGTATATATGACCTTGACAAAGAAGTGACCTATTATTGTTTACTTCCATTGTTCCACTTGATAAAGTAAGGGAGATTTTATTATGTTGTGATATGTCAAATGAAATGAATCCACAGTTACCTTAGACATGGTAAATTCGGCAATCATTTTACCTATTTTATTTTCATAGGGTTGGTCAAACTTACTTATAATATATTTATAATTAAGATGTCTAGGAATATATTTACAAAAACTTATACTTTATAATCTTGAGGAATTTTGTGCTGTAGACAAGGTCTTGAAATCACCCATCACTGCCATTCAAGTAGAAGATATGATTTGATATTAATTGAATGAAGATAATGATGACTAATAATTGAATTGTTGTTATGCTTGACTTAATAGATACAAGTTTCAAATTTTCAAATTATGAATCTCTTTTGTTTCTTAATGATTATTTTGTGAATTTGGTACCAAAGTAGATATTAACTACCTATTTAAATTATATCTTAATAATATGATGCTATTTGTAGTACGGTTATTATGAAAAATGACTGTTATACTTCCATTTGATTT